CTGGTCCTACTGGAGGTCTTGCTGAGCGTCGTGAGCCTGCGTCTCGCCCTGCGTCGCCTGTCCGTGCTGCTCGCACTAGTGGTCGCGGTTCGCGTCAGCGTCCTCCTCCTGTCCCTGGCACGCACCGGATGTCTCTGCGTCCGTCCACTGCTCCTCTGCGTGCCCCTTTGCCTTCTCCTCCTGAGTCTTCTCTTCCTGCTCTTGCCGACCCGGAGTCGGACTCTCTTCGTGCTACCAGTCCTACTGTCACGCGTCTCCTTGCTACTGTTGTCACTGACCCTTCCTTTGAGTCCACTGCTGCGTCTGCCCTAGTTGCTGAGCTCGTCGACTTTGCTGCTCGCTGTCGCCTAGACTACGTCGCCAGTCTTGTTGCTGAGTCTGAGTCTGTCTGTCCTCCGTCCGTCGGGGGTGAGTGTGCCCTTGGCACGGACGTCCTTGAGGACAGGCAGGAGGAGTTCCAGTGCTTGGCCGCTGCTTCACCTCATCTCGTGTCCGTACTGCTTACCCCTGAGGGAGACCCGGATGCACTTGACATCCCGACTCCGCGCTCTTACGCGGAGGCGATAGAGGGTCCCTACTCCTCTCAGTGGCAGGCAGCTATGGATGCAGAGATGGCTTCCTGGAAGTCCACAGGCACCTACGTTGACGCTGTTCCCCCTCCTGGGGCGAACATCGTCAGTGGCATGTGGATTTTCAGGGTGAAGCGACCGCCGGGTTCTCCGCCTGTCTTCAAGGCGCGTTACGTGGCTCGTGGCTTCAGTCAGCGGCAGGGAGTTGACTACTTTCAGACCTTCTCTCCCACCCCGAAGATGACCACTCTTTGGGTACTGCTGCACGTAGCTGCTCACCGTGACTACGAGTTACACTCTCTTGACTTCAGCACTGCTTTCTTGCAGGGCAGCCTGCACGAGGAGATCTGGCTGCGTCGCCCTCCTGGTTTCACTGGGTCTTTTCCTCCTGGCACCCAGTGGAGCCTACGGCGGCCAGTCTACAGTCTCCGCCAGGCACCGCGTGAGTGGCACGACACACTGAGGACTACACTTGCGGCTCTTGGGTTTGCTCCCTCTACTGCTGACCCGTCGCTGTTTCTGCGCACCGACACTTCTTTACCGCCGTTCTACATCCTCGTGTACGTCGACGACTTGGTCTTTGCCACAGCTGACACTGCTGGACTCGCCCACGTGAAGTCCGAGCTGCAGAAGAGACACACGTGCACTGACCTGGGTGAACTGCGCAGCTACCTTGGCCTGCAGATCACTCGGGACAGAGCACGCCGCACCATTACCCTGACTCAGTCACACATGGTGCAGCAGGTCCTTCAGCGCTTCGGCTTCACGTACTCCTCGCCTCAGGCCACTCCTCTGCCTACTCGCCACTCGCTCTCAGCTCTGCCTTCGGATGAGTCCGTAGAGTCGAGTGGCCCGTACCCAGAGCTTGTTGGCTGCCTCATGTACCTGATGACCTGCACTCGACCTGACCTTGCATACCCTCTTAGCATTCTCGCACGCTATGTTGCTCCTGGGAGACACAGACCGGAGCACATGGCTGCAGCGAAGAGGGTGTTGCGCTACTTGTGCAGTACGTCGGGCATGGGGCTTGTGCTTGGAGGGCAGAGTCCAGTGGTCCTTACTGGGCACGCAGACGCTTCTTGGGCTGACGACCAGGCTACGCAGCGGTCGTCACAGGGTTACACCTTCAGCCTTGGTTCCGGCTCTGTTTCGTGGCGGGCTACTCGCTCGTCTTCTGTTCTCGGCTCCAGTTGTGAGGCTGAGATCTACGCAGGAGCCATGGCTGCACAGGAGCTTCGCTGGCTCACCTACCTGCTGACTGACCTCGGAGAGCCGCCTCGTTCTCCTCCAGTGCTGTACGTAGACAACAAGGCCATGCTGGCCTTGTGTCGGGAGCAGCGACTGGAGCACAGAACGAAGCACATTGCTCTCCGCTACTTTCTTGCTCGTGAGCTGCAGCAGCGTGGTCAGCTGCGTCTTGCGTACGTGGCCTCTGAGGCCAACACTGCTGATATCTTCACCAAGGCGCTTGTGCCTTGTGACCATCAGCGCTTCTGTACGCAGCTGGGCCTTGTGCCTACCTTGCCTCACTTGCTCACCTCTTGACCTTGCTTGTACTGTTACATATATATATACCTGCTCTTGCTTGTCTAGTCTTTTTATATATATGTACTCCTGCATGTGAACTGGCCTTGTGGCCTTGAACTTGTGCTCGGAATGTGTGGTGACTTTGTGATCCACCCTGAGCTTGCTTTGCTTTGCTTTGCTTGACTGGTCTTGTGACCCCTTGTTCTCCCCCACTTTGCCTATGGGGGTGTGTCAGAACATTATAGCTCATGCATATTGTGTAGGCTATAGTGGGGTAGCCCATAAGGGGTACAACCCAATTAGGGTTAGCACTTGTACCCAATTCATTCATAGTTCATGCATTCCTTGTTTCTTCTCATGAAGAACCTCAGAAGCCTTCTAGAAAACGGAAGGCTGCCAAGCTCACAAAGGATGGGTACGTGGAACTTCTTTCAATGTTCCGCGTTGATTAGTCTGGTTCAACATCTGAACTTTCCTCGTGGTTTGTTGCAGAAAGGAGCCGAAGAAGCGCACTGGTGGTGGTTTGATGAAAGTATGCGGGCTTTCCGATGAGCTGGCGGCACTTTTAGGAGCTAAAGAAATGCCAAGAACAGACGTAAGTTCATGTCAGTCTTGTCCCTCTTTTTTTCTTCTTACTTTCGTGATCTTATGAGCTAATTAAACGTTGTCTTCCATGTGGCAGGTGGTCAAGGGAATCTGGAATTACATCAGAGCACACGATCTTCAAGATCCGGCAAATAAAAGAGTCATCCGCTGCGATGGTCCTCTAGGCCATTTGTTGGGGACAGAGGTTACTGACATGTTTCAGTTGAACAAGTTGCTGACGAGTCACATCAAGTCGCTTCCTGGCCCAAATGGTAAGACTTGAGTAAAGCTCCCCATGGTCTATCTCGGAAGTCTCTGTTCGTCTTTCGTAACCCAGTACTGTATTTTAACCTAACTGGACCACTTGTGCAGGAGAAATGCCTCAACCAAAGAAGCCCAAAGCTGAACCGGGTGCGGGGGGATCCAGGGGAGCTTTTGCGCAGCCTCTTCCCATGTCACCGCAGTTGATCAAATTTCTGAATTGTGAAGAGACACAGCTGCCAAGATCGGAGGTTGTCAAACGTGTCTGGGCGTATATAAAGGAGCACGACCTTCAGGTACGTTAACCACTTCCTAGTGGCATTCCACGCCCAACCAACATTTTGTAGTGAGAACTAACGTCATGTCAATGTGTTGCAGGATCCATTAAACAAGAGGAATATTTTGTGTGATGAGCCAATGAAAGAGATGTTTGGGGTGGATAACTTCGTTGGTTTCTTGATGACAAAGCTCTTGTCTCCTCACTTCATCAAGACAACTCCCGGATCCCAGAACCAACTTGCAGTTCACTCTCCTGGAGATTCTGGTGACAGAGGAGATGCATACTGATTTGAATTGTGATCATGATTATGCATACAGTTCATGATTCATTCAAGCAGCCGACTAACTGCAGTATACTGAAAGCAATTATTTTGAACTACAATACCAAGGTGATTTTCTAGAAAGAATGATCAGCCCTGTAATATCTTCAGAATGAGACTTGCACTGTACATGGAAGGTGGGTATGGTAATCTTTCCCAATGGTTGTCTCCCAGGAGGAAAGTTTTGGGTAGCGTAATCTCCTCCTGGCTAAGAGCCCCGGGGGGGTCTTATAAATTGTGGTTTACAAAATGCCAAGGTGATCAATAGTGAGGAATTTTTAATACCGGTAAGACCCACAGACATGTTAAATGTTCATTTTAACGTTGAATCCCTAATTCGTTACAGGCAGGCCTCTGGATATAGGGCAAAACACCCTTATTGCCCTTACTATAAGGAAGGGTCTAGATGTTCACCCTTTTTTTACAGAGTTGTTTTATGAGGCGCCCTTAAAAGAAAGTTATTTTTTTGTAACACTGGTATTTCAGACAGGCCTGGTGTACTCGCCCTGATGACAAAAAGTAGTGTCGAGTACCACCCTGATGCAATTTCGAGAGAGGGGGGGAGGGAGGGAGGGAGGGAGGGTGGGGGGGGGGGGGGGAGGGGGGGGGGGAGGGGGGGGGTGGGGGGGGTACCGAAGTGATTTGTGCCGCGATTAGCGGCGTTTTGCCTGAGTCATCAGAGTTGCGCGTCGCCACTGCCACAGTCCTACCAACTCTACATGGCTCACCTGCATTTTGCCTGCATGGCGATGTCGCGCAGCACCACACAGTTGTGCATCGTGTAGGAGTGTCCTGCTTGGTCCCTTCCTCCCCACCAGACCCCCACCCACCGACCAGCCGCACTCACCCATCCCCATTCCAAGGCCAGTCCTCTCGTTCCATTACTCCATGCTCCCTCCTCGTGTTCTCGTCTAGGGTTTGCAATCCACACCACCACGCCTTCCTGCTAGGGCGTAGGCGCAGCTTCTGTGCCTCGCCATGGCTGTTGACGCCAACGGTGATGATGACGACGAGGCACGTCGTCAGTTCCAGCACTCACCCCCGCGAACGGGCCTTAGCTTTTTACGAGGACCCACTAAGAATCTAATAGAACCGGAGCCCTTTGTCGCTTCTACCGAGGCCGAGACCGCGCTGGATGAAGCGGGACGTGATCTGCGCTCACCTGGAGAGTGCACAACAACGCATGAACCTGCACCTCCAGAAGCGACAGCACCTGCAACGGAGATTGGCGCTGCTCCTGGTGACTCTGCGACCAAGAAGCGGAAAGACTCAAGCGGCACTGCAAAGCAGAAGTGGCGGCAACCTGAGCTGTCTTTCTCCCGTGGGGCATGCGCAACCGCACAAGTGAACGGGATGGCACTGATGACGAGGAGGAGGAAGATGGCTTGCCGACTGTTGAAGAGATGGCACGTTTCCCGGAAATTGCTTTCGCTAAAGCGCATAAGCGATTTAAGACGTCATGGGATCGCTTTTTCCGTGGCTTATTCTAACTCGTGATGATGTCGGCTTCCCAATTCTGAAATGCAGCACGTGCTTCGAGCATGGCGTGGAAGGCGCGAATACGGCGTATGGCAAGGGTGGCAGTGGAGGGCGTGACATGCAGAAGGAGAGCATCCGGACGCACCAGCGCTCCACTGTACACCTGGATGCACACGCCGTGAAGAAGTCGAAGGAGAGCCGGAAGCTACGTCAGGCGTTGCTGAGTGAGTTTGAAGGGCTGGATCGCGGCACGCTTCACATCATCACCGCTCTCAAAACTGCCGTTTACACCTGCAAGTCGGAGGCGCCGATCACCTCCTACGTGGGCTTCATCAAATTCATGGCCGAGCTGGGCGTCCCGAACCTTCCTTTGGATTCCAAGGGAAGCTACTTTTTGGAGTGAGTTTTGCCTTTCCGTGCAGTCGTTGTAATTGTTCCTCTACCACTTTTTCATTTACGTAATGCTAACATCTCTGACCGTCTCATGCAGGTACGGGTTTGGGGAGTTGCTTGACGCTGCCGCGAAGTACTTGCGTCAGGAGCAACTGAAGCAAATCGAAGCCAGCCCATACATCCGCAAACAGCTCGATGAGAGTATCGATAAGGTGCGCGGCAAGGACCTGATCGTGTACGTGAGCTACATGAAGGACGGTGCGAGCGTCTGTGAGTTTCTCACGCTGCTGACGATGGAGAAATGTGATGCGGCAAGCCTCATCGACGTTCTACTGACACTCCTTGACGCCGTGGGCATTGACCTGTCAAAGATTGTCGAAATTAGCACTGACGGCGCCAGAGTCATGACGGGCACCAGCAATGGCGTTGTTGCACGACTCCGGGCGAGGAATCCCTATCTCGTGTCTTGCCACTGTATCGCACATCGGTAAGTCCGTCAGTGTTATCGTGTCCTAGCTACGTGTGGCCTGTTTGTTCATGTACTGCCTACTAACTACATGTTGCTCCTATTTTACGGTTGTATTTGAGCAGGGAGGCGTTGGCCGCGCGTGATGCTGCACTGGAGGTGCCGGAGTTCAACATCGTTGACCACGCGGTGCGCAACGTGGCGGAACAAATGTCTAGAAGCAGCATCTGGGATCAGCGTTTCCTGCACCTCCAGGAGTACATATGCGACACCAACCTAGAGCTGCAGGGGATCCACGCCGTGCGATGGCTCTCCAGAGGGGAGGCAGTGAAGCGGTTTGCCAAGGTTCTGCCGGCGACTATTGTGCTACTGCACGATTTCAAACACGAACTCTATGAAGCCGTGACCTCCTTCAAATTCCATTTCATGCTGTATTTTCTTGCAGGCATCCTTGCCGTGCTCAACGACCTCAACACCAAGTTCCAACAGCACCAGGTGATGTTTCATGTCGTCGCGGTTGTTCTTGTATGCCGTTGTTGCCCTCCATTTATCCACCCTACACTAACGTCAGACTGCATTTCTTTGTTTAAACCCGAGCCACAGGTTGACATCACGGTGGTCGCGGGGGAGGTGTCGCTGGCATGCCGAACTATTGAAGTGTGTTACGTGGACTGCGAGGATCGTTTCGACAACGATCAGTCGCCCATGCTCGGCGAGTTCCTGAAGAAGCATGGCAACCCGGGGTTCCGCGAAGTCACGGTCGAAGGAGTGGACCGGGATGACGACCCTGCAGAGCACACATTCACTCTACACGAGCGTCCAATCCCAGGTCATAAGAGTGGCGGCGACTGCTACTCCTGCAAAGCTGTGTGCCAGGAGTTTGCCAAGGAGTGCATTGGGCGTCTCGAGTTCCGCTTGGAAGACTTGAAGGACATGGCCGGCTAAAAAATGTTCCGGCCGTCGGTCTATCCCGACGACAACTCGCAGCGAACAAAAAAGTGCCGCGAGTGGTTGGGCATGCTAGACCACATGTTTCACCACCGCCTCTATGGTACGCCACCTGGTTGTGCATGAAATGTTCTCTCTGTTTTGTGTGTGTGTGTACCTTGGTGTACTGCTAAACACCTCCCCTACCCCTCGACCCCCCCTCTCCCTGCTCTCCCGTCCCGTCAGGTGTGTGCTTCAAGGCGTGCGAGAGGGAGCTGCCGTTGTTTCTGCACACGATGGATACCAACCACGGCAACCTGAGCTTCCACAAGTCGCTCTCGCTCATGCTCCAGTCAACTGACTACGCGGGAGCATACCCGAACCCGGTACAGCAATGGCAGGCTGTAGAAGTGCTCCCACTCAGCAGTGTGGAGTGCGAGCGTGGCTTCAGTCACCAGAACCGTATCAAGTCGTGGACACGGAGCTGCCTAGGCGACGCTAGACTGGGCGATCTGATGACTGCAGCACTCCTGCCCACAGAGGGTCTGAACTGGGTGAATGTGGTAGCTATGTTCAATGCTAGCAAGGAGCGCTGCTCTGCCCAAGAGTTCCTGTATTGACTTGTTGTGTGTGTTCCCTGCCAAGCTAAGCGTATTCTGTTAGAACCAGACCAGCCCAGATGTAGGTGCTGCTGTAGTTGCTCTTGTTAGGCAATTTAGTCTCTTATTCAGGCCCTCAGATTTGTTTCAGGGTATGCTGATGGATCAGCGTGCCCTGCCCAAAGTAGTGACCAAATCAGCGTTGGGGGTTACGTTTATGCTGATTTGGTCAGGGTGAAATATCATGTCTAGCTGAATCTTGAGTCTAGTAAATAAACTTGAATAAGAGACTATCAGCGCAGTTGTCTAAGGTTTCGCCCTGCTGTCGCAAAGGTCCTGTGTTCGAGTCCCATGCGTGAGAGGTTTACTACTGTGTGGCGGTAACCCATTTCCTGTGCCATTTACATTTTGGTAAGTCCGAATCAGTGTGACTCGGTACACTACACTGATGCTTCAGTGTTACTGGTACACCTAAACACTAATTCGTCAGGGTAGTCCTATACTTTAAACTGAAAAATCAGTGCAAACATAAAGAAGATACTGAAACTTCAGGGAAAACGAAAATCACAGCTACAAAATCAGCCTAATCAGCGTGTTTTACACTGATATCTGAGGGCCTGCTCTTATTTTACACTTAATGCAAATGCAACCCTAAGCTTTATCTAAAACTAAACAAGAAAGGGTAAAACTAATGTGCACACTGACGAGCAAGGGTAACTTTCCAGCAGACACCGATAAAACAGACTGACATGGCTGCCCCACCCTTACAGAAATACCAATTTCCGCGAACTGGCCTTACGTGTAAGAGCGCCTCCAATCCTATCCAGAGGCCTGGTTACAGGAATTCATTTCAAGCCCGGGGGTGCACAATTCACTTCATGTCGCAGATTCGACACTTGACTGTTTTGGATGTTGTAACCCGCCACGCATCACATTGCTGGGCCCCGACGGCGGATTCACAACGCACCGCTGTCCTGGCGGTGCGCCCACATGAATGCATACAACCAGGGCTCTCACTAGCAGATTTTTTTGTCTGTTTGTCTGCTTAGCATATGTTTTTAGCGGTTTATCTGATATATCAGAAATTGAGTTTTGTGATTTCTGTTAGGAAAGGAATGATTTTTTGGTTTTATCAGATGAGAAAGACATAAAATCTTCTGTTCGTCTGATTCATCAAGAACCAGTTTCGGTTCCGTCTGATACCGACAACTTGGAAGCTGCTTTCGCCAGCAAGGCATAAGATGCTTTCGCCCCACGTGAATCCACCCAGAATGTGCTGCAACATGTCACTCCGCGTCATACCTTGCCCACGCAGGACCACATCTGTTGTGGCATGTTACGACTAGTGTTATTGGTCATCGTGATACAGCACAGCTGCTGCCACATCCACCCTTTAACGATTTCGGCGCCTACAGAACCTTAAAGAACCGCAATGCAATAGCACCACAAACAAGTGGTGCCACCCAGTTTCATTCTAGCCATGCGCGCTTTGTCAAGACTGGAAGCAGAATGAACGTTGGGGTTTGAGGGGGCCCTTCGTCTCCAAATCTCTCTTGACGTAGCCAATTCACGCCAGTTTCTGCAGGGAACGTTTTCTTTTCCTCCCGTCCGTCGCCTCGCCATGGCGGACCCCGTGATAGATGCGGATACAGCCACGCCACAGGCCCGTTCTCCTATGACGGGCCTGGATTTTCTGCGTAGACCCCAGCCTGCCGCCGATGTAGTTATCTCCCCGTCACGCGGCCCGATACCTTCTCCCCACAATGCCCCCGAAGTTACGCCTGTGTCGTGGCCCGAGGAAAATGCTCGGCGGGCTTTCAGCAGCACACCGCCTGCCTCCCCATCCCCATCTTCTCACCGTCCGCTGCCTACTCAGAGGCCTCAGTCATCCGTTAGTGCATCTCGTTCTGATAGGAACCCGCGGTTCCCGAAAATAGGTCGTTTCACCCAGACCACACTACGATTTGCAAAGACGCGCATCCCTCACGTTCGCGTCACCACTCGCCCCAGGACGGCGCCATCCCCACCATCTCCTCCTACCCTCCATCCCACCGGTGATCCTGGCCCCTCTCGAAGTAGTGTTCTGGTTCCAGATCCGGACAGCCTCATGACCGAGCTGCATACGAAGGCGAAGGAATTATGGAAGGGCAAATTCAGCTGGCTAATCATCACACAGCGCAAGGACGGGACGCCTTGCATGAAGTGCATCATCTGTACGGCGTACGGTCCTCCGACTTGGCAGTACGGGAAGCAAGGAGAAGGCGGGGTTGATATCCAGCGACAGGCAATGCGAAAGCACGCGCTCAGCAGGAAGCATTAGGACGATGCTGACGACAAACTGCGCGCAGAAGGCAAGAAGGTCGCGCAGCGAGGCATCGCCGAATACGAGCGAGCAGACGGTGAAAGTGCTAGGTTGGAGCAACTCTTGCTGTGCGTGCTATACATTTGCAAATCCGAATCCCCCATCTCCATGTTCGTAGGCCTAGTTCTTCTGCTGGCAGACTTGGGGACGCCTAACATACCAGACAAGTCGATCGGCACATACCAGTTAGAGTGAGTATTATGATGAATCTTATTGCGTTTGTTTTTTCCGTCACTAAACTAACTGACAGATTCGTGCCTGTGCAGGTACGTGTAAAGCAGTGCGTCGTTATTGTTTTGTAGTGCTTGTGAGAATACATTTCTAACATACGTAAATTAGTTTAATTGCATGGAAGCACTTGCAGCTAAGGACGCGGCAGATGCCGTGCCTGATATTGGCCTCGTCGACCAGATCGTGCGGAGTGTAGTCGACAACCTTGGACGAAGCATTGTCGTGCACTCGCGTTTCATGGAGCTGCAAAAAAATACTGCACGCGACGACCCTGGAGATGCAGGGGATTAAGGACATCCGGTGGCTCTCTCGAGGCGATGCGATCTAGCGGCTTGTGGCAGTACTCCCGGCAACTATTGTCGTTTGTTCGGAGCTCGACAAAGGCGGCGTACGCGAAAATGAGCAGCTTCAAGTTTCACTTCTTTCCTTTTTTCCTGACAGATGTGTTGAAAGAGTTGAACAAACTGAAAAGGAAGTTTCAGCGGCGAACAGTAAGTCTGTTACACGCTGGTTGCGCCACCACATATCATGAAAATACTTACAATCTCGGTTTGCTATTGTGCAGGTTGACATCACCCGGGTCACCGCCATGGTGAACAACACCTGCAACAAACTGCGCGCACGCTACATCGACCATGGCGTGAACTACGGCGAGGACATCGAGCAACTAACCGAGTTCCTGGAGAAGCACGGCCATACTACAAATCGGATGGTGACAGTCGAGGGCATGGATGCGGAAGGGAGTCCCGTCACCCACACCTTCAACCTTCTGTCAAACATTATATATGTTTGTGTTCTGTAGGCTGTAGTGGGTTTAGCCTTAGGGGGTACAACTTCTAGGGTTTCATACTTGTACTCCCAATCTTCTTAGTTCAAACACTTCTCATTTCTGACATGGTATTAAGAGCCTAGGTTAGGGACCTAGGACCGCTTACCTAAGGGCCCACCGTTCCGCTAGAGGTGCCCTCATGCGCCCTACCGTCTTAGCGCCCTCGTGCGCCTCTCTCCTAGTGCGCCCTCGCGCGCCCTCCTCTCACGCTGCTCGTTTGCAGCCCGCTAGCAGCCCGAGCGCGGCCCCGCGTTTTTAGCGCGAGTAGCCCGTTAGCCGCCTAGGGCGGCCCGATTTTTTCTCGCGCGCGCCAGTAGGCCGTCGCCCGTAGGCCCCGCTCGCCCCTAGGCCGACGCTCGACCCACCGCCGCCAGCCCGCAGGTCGCAGCCCGCGCGCAGCGGCGATCGAGCGTCGGCTGCTGCAGCTCGCGCTTAGCCGCCGCACGAACGGAGCCGCGGCCCGCGCGCAGCCGCACCCTAAGCGCCGCCGTGCACCGTGCATAGGCCCGCCGTCGCGCCGCCCTACCTGCCCGAGCCGCGCCGCCCGAGTCGCGCTGCCCGAGTCGCGCCGCCCTGATCGAGCCGCGCCGCCCCACCTGCAGAAACTGCTGTTCCTGTTCCTGCTACAGCTACTACTGCTACTGCTCTTACTGCTACTACTGCTACTGCTACTGCTGCTACTACTACTGCTGCTACTGCCACTATGGCCAGTCCTACCGTTCTCACTTTTGACTCTGAGGGCCGTCCGATTAAGTTTGACGTTTGGCTCGATGACCTGCACCTGTTCCTCCAGATCACTGCCAAGGACGATGTTTCCCTGTTTGACCACACGTCCGGCGTAGCCCCCGCTCCTGCTGCTACTGCTGACAGTACAGCTCGCTCACAGTGGCAGACCCGTGATGCTCACGCTCGCCTAGCTGTTCGCAGCCACCTGCCGTTAGATGAGCGCGAGCACTTTGGCCAGCATAAGACCGCTAAGGAGCTGTACGATGCTGTA